CACGACCCCCTACCCTCGGCAACCCCAAAACTACAGCTTCGTTTCTTTAGCTTCCCCTTTAACAAAATAATGATTCGTTGGGAAAATGGGGTATAAATCTTCATTTTGGAGGCAATTAAAGTGTTGATTTCATTCGTGCCCCTGAGCGATTCTTGTAATTTGCTCAAATAGCTTTATGTACCCAGCACTCCAGAGCTTTTAGAAACCCATTTTCTAGTTAGACTTGTTGGATTACAATTTTTATTCAACAACAGCGAGCCCAGCCTAATGCGCACACAACCCCCTTTTTTACAAAATTCATGCCTCCCTCCGAGCCTGCCTCCCCCTGTCACGGCACTACCGGCAGCCAGGAGGAAAGATCTCAGACGCTGCCCACGCCGCGATGCAATGCACCTTGGTGTCGGTGATCTATAAACTCACTCCTGGCTGACGGTGCTAGCGATAATGGGAAGGCGGCTGAGGAAACTCCTGTCTGCTCGGCTGCGCCTTGCTCCAGCAAAAAGAAACCTCCAGAGTCGGGAGCTGGTTGCTCCTAAGACTGTTATTTACGAAGTTGATCATAAAGGAGAAATAACTTGGGGTTTTTAGTCGGGGATTTGTGTGTGTGCACTCAAGGTCCCCTCTCTCGCAGCCAAAGCGCTGCTACCTCTCGGCTGAGAGAAAGCAACCCAACCGGGAACAGCCCGCAGTTTCACCCGACACGGGAAGAAAAAAAAGGAAAAAAAAAAAAAGCCAAAGCCCAGCCACTTCCACCATCCAGGAGCTTCACTTAGCTCTGGGCACCTCCTGAACCAGCCCCAAACGCTCCCATGAAAAAGCAAGGACCTCAGCCTAAGCCCAGCGGAGGGGACAGAGGCGCAGGGGACGGGGAGGGGGGAAAGCCAGCTTTCCCAAGTCATTCCTGTTTCCCGCATCAGCTGCAGCCGGCATTAAAAGTCTGAACCATCCCAGGCAAAACCTGGGCTCCGTCAAAGCCACACAAGGCTTTGCTGGCTTGGTTTTAGCGTTTGGATTATTTTTTTTATTCCTTTTTAAACAGAGGGGTTGAAAACTTGAAAGATCAAGGAAAACAATTTAAAACTGGGTCCAGTTTTGTTTTTTCCTCTTTCTTTTTTTTTTTCCCCTTCTATTAAGTAAAATAAAATGGGCGCGTTTGCAGCAGGCAGGCGTGCACAAAGCAATGTTCACTGAAGTCTAAAAGCGTTCGGCCAAGGAAAACTGACAAGACAGACTAATGAACCGTAGAGACGGGAAGAAAATAGCCAGTATTTGCTAGATTTCAAACCCTCTCTGTCTTCCCCGGACCACCTATCTTGGATTTTCTTATTATTTTGGTAAACGGCTCCGGCCCTTCCTGTCATAAGCCACCAAGAAGCCAGCGATTCACGGGTACCACTTCTATTATTGTAAAGGGTAAATAAAACAAAGACAAAAATTAAAAGCGACAAGAAACAGGTCGAGTTTGCAGGCGATGCTTTTACAAGCTCATCTCGCCAGGTCGAATCCGGGAGCAAGCCTTAATGAAGCAATAATAGCCACATTATTCAAAAATTTTCATTTCGATGGAAATTTATCTAAAAGGGACTTAATCATATGCAAATAATAAAAGGAGGCGTAGTGACCCAGCGAGCGATCTGCATACAAATTTCAGCGTGTGCGGCGCTGGCGAGATCATACCTGATCTGTTAGATTTGCTGATCTTGTTATGTCTTCACTGTCCGATTTTGATCCGCCCTCTCTATCGTCTATGACCAAATCGATAGGCATTTTTCCTTTCAAACAGCTAATATACCGGTGGCAGAAATTGTCACATAATTCGTGTACCTGCATTATGACAAAGGTTAAAAAAAAAAAAAAAGAAGAGGAAGAAAAAAAGAAGAAAAAGAGGAAAAGGAAAAAAGAAGGGGGGGGGAGAAAACATAATCAGGAATACGTAAGTAAAATTGACAAGTGCAGCCAGTCTCCCCCCTTCACCCCTGTGACATCAAAAGTCCTAAACAGGGGAAACACACTGCAATTATCCCCCTGAGACCTCTAGACGCATCCAGAATTAGGAATAACTTTCTTTTCTCGCAAAATAGAGATATCCCAGAAAATTGACAGTGACAAGATGATTCACAGGCTACAACATATTCAACACCCGTGTTAAATTCATCTGCTCCCAGAGCTGTGGCCATTAGAGAGGTGACCTGCATGGGTGACATTTAAGGTAAACTATTTAATTTCATCCAGTTATTTCATCATAAACCCTTTCCAAAGGGGTGTGAGGACAGAAAAAAGGATTTAAAAAGGAGGAAAAAAACCCACCAAACCCCAAAGTAGGGGGCTGAAATACATTACAGTCATCCATGCCCTGAAATCCCCAGTTGCTCCGACAGACTCGTACCTGAGTCACCTCTATTAAGGGGCAGATTTTAACACATTTTGGGTAGAGTGAGAACAACCTGCCAGTCATGGTTAGATAAAGTGGCTGAGGCTCCCGAGAAACTTTTCAACTATTTAAAAACCTCTCAAAATGTTTATTTTTAGGAGAAAGGGAATTCTCTTCTAGGCCAGCTATCAATGACATGTAAAAAATCCTCAGGAAACCAGAGCGCGCTTCCAATTTAATGTGAGCTCGGATGACACCTCCTTCTTCGAAATTAGCATTCTCCCTCCTAAGATTCCTAAAATCGCCAGTAAAAACCCCCGCGTTTCGGCCGCAATCTCTTTCTTCTGCTCAGAGGTGTACAATATTCCGAGGAACAAGAGACAGACGCAACTATCAACTCTGCTTTGTCTCTGCAAAATGTTACGGGACATCAAGTCAAGCACTACATAAATGTAAGGCTAGGTTCACATTATCAGGTTAACTGTCACATAAGGCTCTTAAAAAAAAAAAAAAAAAGAAATTCCCCATCCCAACCGACTGCAACCAAAGTCTTCCCCACCACCACCAAGGAAAAAAAAAATTAAATATAGTTAAAAAAAAAAATTAAATCACGATTTCAGGGGCTTGGCTGAACCAACCATTTGGAGTCTCATCTGCGGCACCGCAGAACTGCAACTATTTATACAAAGCCAGCAAAGTATTACAATGAACACAAGGCCTGGGCGGTTGAGAGCCGGGTTTTAGAGGCTGAAATTGTAATTAAACTGCGAAGAGAAATGGACGCCAAGATTGGTCTTGACACTAATTACCAGAAAGAAAGACATTTATGCAAATTTACCAGAAGCCTGAACTTCAGCAGTACTGAAATAGAGAAGGAAGAAAGCGAGAGAGACAAAAATTACCTTCTCTAATTCCAACAGATGAAACCTTAATACTTGTATGGCTTGGATCATCTGCAAAGATACAAACAACACGAGTATTTATCTCATTCCCTGATTTGGGGCTATTTCCCCCAGCCCCCCCTGCCGTACTTTGTAGCTTGACTTTTCTCTCGTAGTAAATAAAAAGTTGTTCTGATTTATGGCAATAACACTAAAACTTAATAGCGGTGGCTTTGTGCGCTGTTTAACGAGAAGCGATCTACAGTTAACAAAAAAAAAAAAAATCCCTCTTGCAACGAAGCAACTAAATTATACGGATCATAAACATTTCTTTACAAAACCCCCACCCTCTAAACACTGCCGCTGGCTCCCGGCTTTGCGAAAGCGGGAGCGAGACTCCTATCATCGGACGCAAAATACTTGTTTATCCTTAAGGGTAAGGGGGGAGGAGGGAACCAAAAACAAAAAAAGAGAGAGAAAAGCCCTCCTTTTCTGCAAGGGAGCGACCGGCGCCCCTCCAGCTACAGCAACCCTCTACGTCTCCCACCGAGCTGCCCCAAAGGTGCGCGGAGGGGCTGGCTGCAGCGTGGACAAACCCACGCTCCTCTCGGGCAGGCGAGCTCGCCGCCAAGCCCGCAAGCCGGAGGGGGCTTGCTTTATCTAGATCCTGACGGGATTTTTCTTTTTTCTTTTTTTTTTTTCCCCACTTTCATGCAATTACCGCACCGTGTTTACTTGGAATTATAAAAATCATCATCATCACAATTAAAAAAAACAAATCCACGCGAGAAATTTTCAGTTTAGCAACACCAAGCCACCTCTCCAAGAAGACACAGAAGTTAAAAAAGAAAATAAATGGGGAGG